CTTCTCTCTCTCTCTCTCTCTCTCTCTCTCTCTCTTCCCCTCTCTCCCTCTCTGTTTCTTTCTCTCTTGTCGTCACTCCGTTTGCGCTATTCCCATCTGTCTCTTTCTCTGTTGATCGTCTTACCTTCTCCTCCTCTCTCTTCTCTCTTCTCTTCCTCTCCTGTACTTCTCTCCCTCCTGTGCTGCCCATTTGTCCAAATGATTTGTCCAAAAAAAAAAAAAAAAAAGAGAGGGAGACCTGTCTTGTCGGCATTCTCAAGGCTCGTCGTAATTGCATATTGTCGGGTTAAAAAAAAAAAAAAAAAAGCATATTGTCGGGGTTTCTCCGTATTGCTGCCAAAGCCGTACTTAGAGCATATTCACACTACCTTCTTTCCTCCAATACAACGTATCTTTCCTCGAATACAACGTACGGTCATTATAAAGATGCCTCAAATACAGCTATAATGACCGTACGTTGTATTCGGCGGATGAAGATATAGCACATTTGGAATTGAGCTCAGATGCATCCGGGAAATTCCCCGTGTGAATATTCTCTCTTAGCTACTGGGGTATGAAGGTATGCTACTACCCCTCTCTCCTTCCCTCCGTTCCATTCGGCGGATGAAGATATAGCACATTATGCTACTACCCCTCTCTCCTACCCTCCGTTCCATCGTGCATTGTCCGTTTGCCATTTTGTTCTGTTGGAATGGAGATGACCCCCCATGTGTTTATGGTCCACGAATGGAATCCATTCCACTGGAAAGGAATGAAACCCAATTTGTATTCCATTGAAATGAATGGATTTGATTTTGCATGCCATTGGAATGGAATGGGAATTTTTTTAAAACTACAATCAAGTTCCATTTTTCATTTCTATCGAAATCGTGGTTTTACATATCACAATCTTGTTCCATTTAGGGAATGAAATGGGACCAAATATATGGGCCATTGGAATGGGATGAAGGTCCATAATTCACTTGATTAATTTGTCAATTAATTAGTCAATCCAATCCGATCCAATCCAATCCAATCGAATCCAATCTAATGAATCCTATGAAATCCCATCAATCCAATCCATTGAATCTAATCAATTCCAGTTAATGCGTAAAGGAATCCAATCCAATGCGATCATATCAATATATCAACCAATCAATTAGTCCATCCACTCTAATCCCATCCAATCCCATGCAATCCAATCTATCCCAATCAATCCAATGAAATGCAGTTATATCCTGTTAATGCGTAAAGGAAACCAATCCAATGCGATCATATCAATCAATCAATCAATCAATCAATTTGTCCATCCACTTCAATCCCATCCCATCCAATCCATCCCAATCAATCAATCAATCAATCAATCAATCAATCTATCAATCAATCAATCAATCAATCAATCAATCAATCAATTTGTCCATCCACTTTAATCCCATCCAATCCAATCCATCCCAATCAATCTAATGAAATGCAGTTAAATCCATCAAGGATACTAATCCAATCCTATCAATCCAATCCAATCCAATCCAATCCAATCCAATCAACTCCAATCCAATCCAATCCAACCCATTCAATTCCAATCCGTGCATCCAACCACCAATCAATCAATCGACTTTCGGTCCGTTAGGTTTTGTTTTGTGGTTGACAAGAACATTAAATTAACGGACACAGAGAGAGAGAGAGAGAGAGAGAGAGAGAGAGAGAGAGAGAGAGAGAGAGAGGCAATAACTATGTGGGGAATGAAAATGAGGTGAATTTGAAAGTTTTGGTAAATGGCTGGACTTGCAGGTGGATGACCTCAGACATTTGCTGGATGCCTTTGGCCAATGGCATGCACAGCTGTTTCCAAAGATGAAATTCGACGAGTTCGTTTCCAAGGTGGAGAAACTTGGGGCGAAACGACTAGTCCGGGTGAGTTTTCCTTGATCTTCCCAACTGGCTTACATGGACTGTGGATTCCCTTCTTCTTCTCTATGGGGAGGCCTTCTTGTTCAGAGGGAAAAGGTGTACCTCTTCTCTAGTGCGGGTGTGATGACAGACAGGATAATCAAAGAGGGAGGGAGGGAGGGAGGGAGAGAGGATTCCTTGAGTGCATTATGGAAGAGAGAGGGAGGGAGGATCGTTTCTGTGTGAGTCTCTGACAGGCATTCCTGAACAAGTGCATTTAGTGACCTCTGCAGATTGACGCTTGAGAGAGAGAGAGAGAGAGAGAGAGAGAGAGAGAGAGAGAGAGAGAGAGAGAGAGAGAGAGAGAGAGAGAGAGAGAGAGAGAGGATTATCAGTGAGTGCAACATTTACCTCTTGATGGATGGGATTAACAGCCCCACGTTCCAAGGTTTTGTAGTTGGAATGATCGAGTCATTTCTGCGTGGTATTTGTGTTGGCATCATCAAGTACATGTGTGGGGCATTGTGTTGACATCTACCTTCTTCACCCGAATAAGACGTACAGTGATTATAACTGTATTTGGGGCAACTGTGAGCTGTATACAGCAATAATATACATACGTTGTTTTCGGCTGAAGACGGTAGCTTGCCAAATTGGAGTGCGCACCAAGCTAGCTGCCATTATGTTGGGGAGTGTGGGAACCCTGATTTCGCAGTGCCTGTCCAATTCACAAGGGGCGCAACGGTTTTACTCGCAGCGGTAAACCACCAGTCCCACGTGTGAATCCCGATTTCATTGTGTTGGGGGGGATGAGTGCCACCAGTCCTCCGTGTGAACTCCAATTTCATTGTGTTGGGGGGACGTCCCACTGTGAGTCCTCCACGATGCAGACTGGGGAAATGCGGGGGCAGTCGGCCTACCGCACGTGAGAGAGGTCCTCAATGGTGCGCAGCAAAAATATAACTGCGCCAAATTTGATGCTTTGTGCGCTGAGAATTGTGCACGGAAAGTTGTGCAAAAATATGGGGCGCATAGATTTGGTGCCGATCTTTTAGTGAAAAACTTTTAAGAAAGATTCTCCGATTGGATGTTCACTTCTTTTTTTTCGCATCTATTTGCTTCCCGCCACTACTGCTAGGCCCAAAATTTTCTGCTTACTGGCCATACGTGTACCCCAAATTTGGAAGTGCCAGGGGGCCTGGTGGCTTAAATCACCTGTACTTGGCCCAGCTATCGGCCGCGGTGCTTCCCCGTTACAGGGCTTTGGGGTACCGGACCACAATGGCTGGAAGCGCCAGCCAAAAGAAATTTGAAACGATGCCCTGCCAGTTCGGCAGAACTTGGCGCGCAGGGGGTCGGCCGGCTCGGCATCGATAGCTGGGCCAAGTACTGGTGGTTTAAAGCTTGGAGCAAGCAGGGCATCAGTCAAACTGGACCAAGGCCAACGGGTTCCACAGGACCGAGGCAAAGGGTTGCAAGGGACCTCACAGGACCAAGGGCACGGGGTTCCACAGGACCGAGGCCAAGTGTTCCACAGGACCGAGGCCCACCGAAGGGTTCCATGGGCTGAGGCCACCAAAGGGCTCCATGGGACTGAGGTTCCACAGGACCAAGGCCAAAGGATTCCATGGGACCAAGACCAAAGGGTTCTGTTGGACCTTCGGTCCAAAGAATTCCACGGGACCGAGGCCAAGGGATTCCATGAGGCTCCTTGCAAAGGTTTTCATGGGACCAAGGCTGAAGGGTTCCATGGGACGGGACTGAAGCTAAAAGCACTTGAGGGAGCACTAGGTGCAAAACGATGAAGCGGTTAATCCGGAAATTGCCCAATGATTCGTAAATGGTTAGCCATATGGCATATGCATCATATGACTACCCCAGGCCCTAGCCCTAAACCCTAAACCCAAACCCTAAACCCTAACCCCACCCCTAAACCCCAGCCGTAAACCCTAACCCTAACCCTAAAACCTAACCCTAAATTCCAACCCTAAATCTCAGCCCTAAATCCTAACCCTAAATGCTATCTGTGAATCCTGACCCATGACCATAATTCCTAAACCGCTAGCCCCCCAAACCCCTAAATCATAACATCCCTAAACTCGGGAAGCTTATGGAGAGTCGTGGTTTAAACTTTAAACAGACGATGATGTATCTATCCACTAATTCGTATCTATCCACTAATGCGAATTCTTATTTCTTTTCAGGGAAGATTATATATATTATACACGATATTAACATCCAAACTTCCGATTTCTTGATGGTTTTGGGTTTTGATCAAAACTTCGCGAGTGATGGATCAGTAATTGCTACAATTCTTTTTGACGGACCAGTCAAACGACACGGAAAGCACATAATCGCAAAGTTTGGATATAGTTAGTTACTTTCTTAAATTCCAAATGAGAATTTTACGGAATTGAAATGAATTGAATCGAATCGAATCGAATGGAATGAACGTGCAATCGAGGGTTCATTTGGGATCTGCCGAGGGCCTTCGGCCCCGCAATAGCTTTTCCGAAAGGAGAAAGGAAGTTATGCACAAAAAAAAAAAAAAGGGAACGATACAACAATCAAAAGTTCAAAAAAAAAAAAAGAAAGAAAAGGGAGGAACGATGCCAGAATCGAAAGGAGATGCGCTTTTCTGAAGAACAAGGTAGCTATGGTTTGTTTGTTTCGCTGGTATGCCTCCACGCAATTGGCATTTTGAGTCTTTGTGGAATGTTAAAATTTTCCAATTGTTGTGACTGTCTGTTTTTTTAAGTTTGAACTTTGAAATTTGTTTTTTCAACTTTTTGGGTATAAATTTACTATGAAAACTTAAAAACGGAGGTTCACTTTCCTGAAACAGAAAACCCAAAAAAACTCCTTTGGTCTGTTTTGTTCCACTGCTGACATTCATGCATTTGACAACTTGAATATTATTTCGTTATGTACCTTATATATTTTTTTATTATTTGGCAATTTTAAAATTTGAGAATCTTTTGTACTTTCCTTCGCGACATCTGCTGAATTGGAACGATACGGAGGAAGAAGATTAGCATGGCCCCTGCGCAAGGATGGCAGGCATAAATTGACAAATGGTCCACATTCAGGGCTGGTCGCCGGTTGGACGGGGGGACCCTCCCCCGACCGGTAGCCTGCCGGTCGACCGCGGCTTGGCAGACCCCCCCGGTTGAACCCAGAGGGGGGGTGGGGGGTGGGGGTGTACCGAGGAGTCACGGGCATCCCTGCGATTTTTGCCCAGCACCCGGGAGGCCGCTGCTTCCTTAAAAAAAACAAGTCGACCCAGCGTGGCGAAGCCACGCTCCAGTCCTGTCTATACATGCCAGGAAGCGTGGCAATGTCGGTCTCTCTGTGTGTGTGTGTGTGTGTGTGTGTAGGATGAGAAAAACCGGAATGAATCTTCAGCCAGAACATGGAAATATACACTGCCACACCTTTTTTTTCTTTTTCTTTTTTCATGTGTGCATCAACTGAGCAGCCAGGCAATGTGCAAAATGAGAAGGAATCTTCCGCACGAACATAGGAAGATACACCGCGACGAACAGATACATTGAAAAGGAATCCCGGTGGGAGTATGGACTAAGGAGCTGTCAGATGCAAATGTTGCCGCACGGGCCCGCACCTTGTTCCGCCGCCAATTTCCCAACACAGGGCCCTCGGGTTCCTGCAAAGTGGAATGTGTTTTTTTTTCCCCTTTTTTCCCCCCTTTTTGTCCTTTTCTTTTTTGTGCATGAAATGTGTTTTTTCAACTTTTCTTGGAAGAGAAAACAGAAAGTAGGTTAAGTATTGAATATTATGAATAACCTAATTGGCTGACCAAGTATCATGCAAGCTTTTCTTTCTTTTTTTTTTTCTTTTTTTTTTTTCTGCGGGGTCTTGAGGGGGCGGGGGGTTGAGTGACAGTTCTTTTGTCGCGGGTGGTCGGTGCCTGCTTGCCTTGTTCAGATTACGCTGGATAGCCTACGCTCCAAGATTGCTTATGGAGCACCCATAACCTGGCCCGCATACGAGGGTGATGCCTCTAAGAGAAAGAAGGGGGGTGAAAATGAGAAAGAGCAGGACCAAGGAGAGAACGTATCTGACAGAGGAGGAGAAGGAGGAGGCGGCGGCGCTAGCGACGACTCTGCCCACCTTGGTCGGCAACGGGATAATGAAGACGTCGTCGAGCCCGCGGATATCTTTGATGAGCTGGTTGCAGATGCTGGTGGTCAAATGGATGACAAGTATCAGCCGCAGGATGATGACATGTATCAGCGACAGGATGATGCAGAACTGCTAGGAGATATGTTCGATGATCTGGTTGGCGAGGCACCGCGACAACGCAATGAAAGGGAGGTAGGAAAAGTTGAAAACCCAGCCAAGCTGTTTCCATATAAACTTCCGAATGCTGTAATGAAATATACAAGACAAGAAGAAGACAGGAAAGAGAGGGAGAAGAGGAGAGGAGAGGAGAAGCGGAGAGAAGAAAAGAGAAGTGAAGGGAAGAGGAGAGGAGAGGAGAAGCGGAGAGAAGGAAAGAGAAGTGAAGAGAGGAGAGAGAAGAGGAGAGGAGAGGAGAGAGGAGAGAGAAGAGGAGAAGCGGGTGGGAAAGGGAAAGAGGGGAGGAAAGGACGTGAGGTCCGGTTTCGCTAGGGAAGGATGTGAGAAGAGTGAATGCTAGAAGCCTAGAGGAGAGAGGTGTTGAAATGTGGACAAGATTTGAAGACGAGAAAACTCGTGAGAAGACATGAACGTGAGGGGAGAGAAGGGACAAGAGAAAGGAGGCTGCGTCGAAAGAAGAAGAAGACAGGTCATGGCCAGGTGGAGAGAAGCCTAGAGAAGAGAGTTGAAGGCAACTTTAGAATGGAAGACAAAACTTAAGGGAATCAAAACAGGAGGGTAGAAAAAGAAGAAGAGAAAATCAACCATAATCGAAGGAGGAGGACGACGACGAGGAGGAGGAGGACGAGGAGGAGGAGGAGGACGACGAGGAGGAGGACAAGAGGAGAAGAAGAAGAAGAAGAAGAAGAAGAAGAAGAAGAAGAAGAAGAAGACAATCGAAGAAGAAGAAAAATGCGATGATGAAAAAGAAGAAAAAGAAGAAGACGAAGAAGATAGGACAGGACATTGCCAATTGGATACATTGCCGATTTGGTTCCTCTCCTCAGGTGCTAGTGGTGTCTGCTCTTACCAGCACCACTAGCACTGGAAGGGAGTTTATTCAAAAAAAAAAAAAAGAAAAAAAAAAAAAGGTTCTTCGACCTACCACTATGTTGGTCCACACTGTGCAGCAACTGGGTTAGCTTGTGCTGCCCTCTCTTCTTATAATAACAAAAAGCGTCTTCGCCGTGTTGTATTATTTTACTGTTTGATAATCATTATATAACTGCTCAGCGAACAAATGGCCCTACTGATTTACGTAGACGAACAACTACGCACATCCATGTACCTGGCTGACAGAGGAATGGTATCGCGAACAGCTATTAGTCGACGGGTAATGGTATCGTGAACAGCTATTAGTCGACAGGTAGGGGGTTCCAATCCTGTTCTCAATGCGATCATGTCCGCACTTACATCCCCCACCAAAGCACACTGCACTCTGCTGTACACAATAAATTCAATAATTCAATATGTTTGGTGCCAGACCGAGGCGGTTGTTGTCCTCTTCGTTGGTACCGAAGCGGTTGTTGTCCTCTTCTCACACTTGTGTCCTTTAAGGACGCAAGTACCTTTGGCGCGTGGGAAAACAGCGGGCCTCCGGTGGGCCACCGACCTTTTTGGAGGCCGAAACGAAACGACGGCCCCCAATCAGATTTATCAATGGCAGTCGTCGTCGGGCCCGGCCTCCGAATCTTTAGGAGTTTGGGAAAACAGCCAGTTTTCCCTATTTTCCCACGCGGGAAAGGTACTAGTGGACACAAGTGCATGTTCGACATCGGTGAAACTCCAACGAAACAGTTTGTTGTCACAGCCCCTCCCTCGGTTGTTGTCCTCTTCTCCCTCCCTCCCTCCCTCTCTGCCTACAGCTTACCGTAGGCAGCTGAGCTCTGTTTGACGATGTATATATCGCGGAGGGGGTCCTTAGGGACATCCTGTTAAAATTGGAACGATACAGAGAAGATTAGCAAGGCCGCTGCACAACCAAAAAGAAAAAAAAAGATTGTGGATGATGTGCACTGCTGCGAAATCTGTGTGCCCTGGATTACATTTTATCGAACGACTTGCCTCTTCGTTTTTTGTTAATTAAATAAATTATCCTAGAACAAAACTCGCTGGACCCGGTTTCCAGCAGGTGATGCTCCCCACCAAAATAGATGGAGCGGCCCGCTGACAAAGCCTCAATCCCGGTGGTTCTCTTACCACCACTGGGATAGAGGCCTTGCACAAGGGCCTTGGTAAAMAAAAAAAAAAAAAAAAAAAAAAAAAAACAAACAAACAAACAAACAAACAAACTTGAGTAAAACTACGTTGAAGTTTGAACTAACACAATTCATTTCTCGGCTTTTTTTTTTTGGGCTAATAAGTAAAGATCGAGTGACCCCAATGGGCCCAAATCTGAGTTTTCTTCTTCTCCTCTTTTTTTTTTGGTCTAATAAGTAAAGATCGAGTGTGGTATCTGTTCTGAATTTTCTGATCGTCAGTTCAATATCTGGGGAGGGGGGGGGGGAAGAGGAGAAGAAAAAGAAGGAAAAGAAGAAAACTCAGATTTGGGCCCATTGGGGTCAAATGACTTGGCTCATGTCAGGGAAATGGGACAAATGGCGCAGCATCCAAAAACGGGCCATCTGCAGGAGAAGACGATCTGGCAGACGCGACGAGGAGTGATCCTAACTCCAGCGAAGGGCCACCGCCTTCTAAACGCATCCGTCTGTTCATACCGGGCCAGTCATCGCTGTCTCAAGGAGCACAAGGGAGAAATGCAGGGGGCTCAGGAGCGGGAGACGGTGATAGAATGGCTAGCGGCAGCGTCGTTGAACCAGACCATACACGAGGACCGCATAGGGAGGAGAAGGGAAACAGTCATGATGTTCCAGAGCTCGCTGCAATGGATTCGCGTGGGAACGGCAATGGGCCCCTAAGGGGCATGGAGGAGATGGATAGGAGTCGTCCGATGGACACCGGGCCATCTTCTGAAGGTCTTGTTGACAGACCTGGTCCTTCAGGAAGATCATCATCAGCAGCAGCAGGAGCAGGCGCAGAAGGAGCAGGAGGAGAGAGAGGAGGAGGAGGAGGAGGAGGAGGAGGAGGAGGAGGAGGAGGAGGAGGAGGAGGTGGAAGGAGATGGCAGGCGTTTGACCAAAGCAATGGAGATGGAGCACTATGGGGAGGGCGAGACAGCAATCAAGGGAGTGATGAAGGGAGGGGAAATGAAGCTTTTGCTAGGGCAAGAGATCCAGAAAACGTGAATGATGATCCAAATGGTAGCGGGCTGACCCGTGAGCAATCCGGAATGGGAGTCGGGCCCAGTGATACTGGGACCGAGGAAAGGCGGACTCACGGAGACCGAGAGCGGGAAGAGGGTGTCTTGAGACGAGACGATGCTGCCAAGCACTCTAACACTTTGGTCATAGTGGATGATGATGATGATGATAATGACGGTCATCGTCATCTTGCTACACAGCGCAGACGAGGGAAAGAGCCCATGAATATTGACGATGATGATGATGATGATGATAATGAAGATCGGCTTGCTATGCGGCGCAAACCGAGAAAGCAGTTGCGGCATCTCTCAGCAGGTTCCGTCTCGATAGGGGAGCCTATTGACATTGACGATGACACTCAAATGAGCCCCCCCGCGAAGGCTTCCTTGAGGTTAGGTGGTGGTGGGACTTCTACGTCTGACCGACGGCCACGCCGTGTCATCCTTTCGAGCGACTCTGAAGGTGATGATGGCGATTAACAAACTTCATCAAATTTGTGTTTCTTGAACTTTCTTTGCTAATTGCGCTTGTCGCAATGGGTTGTCCATGGGTAGGAACCAGGGGTTAATCCGTAAGGCGCCTTTTTTTTCGGAGCAAGATCGTAAAGAGGAGATATGCTGGCTGCTTTTATATCACTCTCAAGCCACAAGTGGAGTTCTGCCTAAGGAAGCAATAGCAATAGTGCGCGGATGCTGCGCACAAAAGACCTGTGCATCCAACACTGCAGTTGGGCAAGTTCACAGCTCAGAGTGGGCAGGAGTGAATTAACATGAGGAGGATTTGGTAAAAGTCCGACTGTGGTCGGGGTTAGGTAGGCTTAGGCGGAGCGCCTCGCCCCCATCGCACCGACCCTGACCGCAGTGAAAGATGTGAGGGACGCTGGGCCAGGTTTCCGGCGCCCGCTGATGGGTACTAGAAACTCGAAAGTGACAAAAAAATTGAATCCGCAACCTGCGGCGGTGGTTGGCCTGTCTGTTTATCGACGAGTCGACGACCCTTTAATCGGCAATGCACAACAAAGAAATCCTCTTTCTTTTGTCAGCCACCTTTGTGGACTTCCAATCTATTGGCAAATGCCGTAACCGCTGAAAAGAGGACCATCTCAATCTATTGTCAAATGCCGTATTTGTGCCGTCAAACAGAGCTGAGCTGCCTACGGTAAACTGTAGGCAGAGAGGGAGGGAGAAGAGGACAACAACCGAGGGGGCACTGTGGACTTGCAGAAGCATGTTTGCACCATGATTTCAGCTGTTATGGCATTTGCCGATTGATTCAGATGGTCCTCTTTTCAGCAGTTACGGAATTAGTGCTTATCCAAGAGAGAAAGAGGAAAAACGAGGAGTTAAAAACTTCGTACTGACATTGTGTCGATGGATCCCGTTTTCGATCTGGAGAAAAACTTAACCATGTCAAGGTGAGGCATTCTCAATTGGGAGGAAAGTTTACCCATGTTTCCAGATCCGGGGCCCAACGAGTGACTCTGAAACTACTAAGCCAAGAAACTACCACCCCCAAGGGGACCAACCCAAAAGACGAAAACGAGGCGTGAAACTGACCTTAAGAGGCATCGGCAGCTTTATTGGAACAAGAGCGCATAGGTTGCATTATTTTCGTTCACAGCATGCGGGAGAGGGTGTTTCAGTGGGGTAAGGTCAGTTTGGTTCTGGGGAAGAGGAAGGGAGGGGGGAGGGGAGGGGGTTCAGTGAGGTAATGCCAATTTTAGGGGTCAAACTGGGTCAGGGAAGAG